CCCACCACCCGTCGCTCTCAATGTGGTTTTTAACAGTACATAGTACTGTGGTGACATGGCACTGCTGAAAGAATTGAGTCAGACAGTGGGACTCATTGCAAAAGTGTCCTAATAGACATCTGGGCCAGAAAGTTCACCTGGGATTGAGTGGGTCTGTCATATTCCCTTATTGTGTGCCGGTGTCTGAGAAAACTCTGCTCGGTACTGAGGGTCTGCACTGGGGTGCATCAGGCCCAGCATCACAGCTGGGCAAGGAAAGGAATTGTCCCGCTCTGCTCTGAGCTGGGGCAGCCTCACCTCAAGTGCTGGGGCAGGTCTGGATGCCACAGTATAGAGAAGACATTAAACTGTCAGAGAACATCCAAAGGGGGGCAGTGAAGATGGTGAAGAGCCTTAAGGTGAAGTAGTTTGGGTATTGACTGAATGTCATGGTTTTAAAGCAGTAACTAAAAAATTACTTATTTTTTGCTGTGAGATATGGATTAGAACAAGAGCAAAACAGGCTTAAAACTTAAAAGGAAATAAAGAAAGTTTATTAACAAAACTACAAGACTAAGAACACCAGAATAAACTTCCAGAAAACCCTTTTATCCCCCACTACCCACAATTCCCTTGTTCACATGACAACATAGAGACAAAAAACTTTGGAACTTTGGTGTTTAAAACAGTCCCAATTCCTGCTAGAGTCTTTTCATCAGTCTTTGTAGAGAAACAGAAGTCTTCTTCTGTTAGTCTATGGAGTTTCTCATGAGAAAACTATTTCTGTTATAGTTTTCTATTTTTCTGACGCCAGCTGCCCGGAAATCCTGTCATCAGTTCACTCCTCCCATTTCACATCACTCTGAGGTGTGTATGGGCCATGAGTCTAGGGATGTCATTTTTTAAGGATGAGTTATTCAAAGGCAAAAGTTCTCTTCATCTGTCTCTGTGAGCTTCACTAGAAAACAGTTTTCTCTTTGCCCTCAAGGCCTCAAATCTTCGCTTCACTCTGTTCCAGCACCTCACTGTATCACAATTACTTTACCTTTTGCTCAAAATCCACACTTTGAACACTCCATTCCTCCCAATATTCTCTCTCATGAATTAAAGGAGTTTTTTTCGGAACATTATTGTCCATTTCCATAGCTTTAACAGAAAAATATTTCAGCTTATAAAGCATCTCCTTATTCTCTCTTCCCTATCTACAACTTAACTCTTTTCTTCACTGTCTTCTTCATGTTGATTGTCTCTCTCTCTTTCTCTGGGAAAAAGGACTAATCTGTATGTTTTATCCAGGTAGTAAAAGAATTAAAGTCTTGGAAAAGCTGCAAGTGTTCATAGTGTCAGGTTTCAGTCCAGCAGCAGAAACTACAAATTAAGCCAGGCCGACCGGCTCCGTTTCTCTCCCCCCCTCCTCCCGCCCTCCTTCTGCGGCCTCTTCCGGCCTGGAGGGGGGGAGGAGGCCGAGACAGAGCCTTGTTACCTTGTCAGAAGCCGGAAACCAAAAAGAGAGCAAGAGAAGTCTGGCTTTACATCTTAAGGTGGTGTTCACAAGTTGATTTCACTTTTCAATGGTCAAAACTGCTGTCAGTTCTTAGAAATGACTGATAATTGGTCAGGAGAAAAGACTCCCATCAGCCACCAGCAGCTTCAACTTCCTTAGCTCTCAAAGCTGTCTTAAAGGTAAAGTCACCCCATGGCACTGAAGTCACTTGGTCTGTTCAGCCTGGAGGAGACTGATGGGAGACCTTACTGCAGTTACAGCTTCTGTATGAGGGGAAGAGGAGGGGCAGACACTGATCTCTTCTCTGGAGTCACAGTGACAGGACCCAAGGAAATGGTCTGAAGTTGTTTTCATGGGAGGTTATGTTGGATATTAGAAAAAGACTCTTCACTCAGAGAGTGGTTGGAACAGGTTTTTCAGATAACTGGTCACAGCACCAAGCCTGACAGAGCTCAAACTTATGATGTGATTCTTGAGGCTGGTCCTTTGCAAGGCAGAGAGTGTGATTCACATGCAAGAATGCTTACCACGGACACTGCGTGACAATGAACTATGGCAGACAGGTTCCCTACCCTGCCACACTTGGCCAGAAACCATGTCACTCTCTGAAGCTGGAGACTCCCTTACCCTTTCCCCTAGCATTTGATATGAGATGGTACAGAATAACAATCTAGACATGCCCACATGGCAACAGGCTCCATCTCTTCGGGCTACTGCAAAAATTATCTCTGTCCTGGAAGGAACCAGGAGAAGAGCTGTGTCTGGTCAGTTGACAGAAACCAGCAATAATTCCTCAGAGCTCCTAAGGACCTGTTCTGTTCAATACATTTGTACATTATTTGGATGCAGCAATTGTACACATCATTGAAGTTTTTTGTTGATGACACAAAACTTGGAAGTGCTGTTGACTCTTGAGGCATAAGAGGTCTTGCAGTGGTATCTGTAGATTGGATCATTGGCAATATTCATCATTCATCAGTGGCATGAAATCTAACCAGATAAAATGCCAGATTATGCATCTAGGAAGGGGTAACTCTGGACACAGGTATAAACTGTGAAAGGAGTGGCTGGAGGTCAGCCCTGCAGAACAGGATCTGGTGGTGCTGGTCAGCAGCAGGCTCACTGCAAGACAGCAGTGGGTCCAGGCAGCCAGGAAGGCAAGCTGCATCCTGGAGAGCAGTAGAACCAGGCAGCCAAAAACAGGGATTATTTTTCAAGAAATTCCCCTTTCAACAGATTAGTGGAGATTCTGATTCAAGAAAACAAATACTATATATAGTTTAGATACTCATGTAGATATTCATGATGGATGGTGGTGAATAATTTATTTAGAAGTACAATATAGAAATAATTTAGAAGTAAACATAAATGGTGTCAGAAATGACAGTGCAAATACAGGAGCAAAATAGTTAACTCTTGTAACTGTCTATAAGTTATTAGATTTCCTGGAAATAGCCGTGTGGAAGATAAAGACCTTTTAATCATGACTGTGTTCCTACTATTCTTCTATTGCTGTTTATTTAGTGTCAATGTCCTAGAAGTTAATAGAATGACATTGTGATATCTTGATGTCACTTGGTGGCTTATTTCAAAGAACATTGAGTAAGATGTTTTCTTTTATGAATAATATGAGAGAATTTCTGATCTGACTTACTGGAACTTCACTTTACTGAAAGCAATAATGGGCACTGGGAAGAAGATACTTAGGATGATATAGTAAAAGTGAAATTATTATTTTATAATCTATGAAGTGGGTCATTGACTGCTATTGAAACATATATTTGATGAGGAAGTTTCACACATGGAGAATGAATACTGATAAAGGAGAGAATAATTTATTTGTAGAAAAAAATAGTGCTAAAATTCATAAAGCTATTAATTGAAAAGGGATTGTAAGAGGTTTTTTCCATTTAGGTTTTTTAACTATGTTTTGCCATGCATGTGGAGTGCTGACTCTGAATTGTGGCTGCGCTAGCAAGATAACAGCATGAAAAATTGCAAGGTATAACAGATAGCAAAGAGGGATACATGATATAAAACTTAAAACAATGTTGATTAGTGGTTGGACCAACAACACAGCAACATGGCAAATGACAGAAACAAGCAACAGTGTATTAGAAAGAGAAATTAACATGAATTTCTGGTCAAGACAGAAATTACAAGGACAACTCTATTACAGACAGTAATTAAGGTTATAAATTAGTAAAATTAGGATCTATAAGTGAAGAAAAAGTATATTAGGCCTGTTTCAAAGAAACAATTGTAGAGATTGAGAAAAACTTGTAAAAAAAAGGAACTGTAGAAATGGAAAAGTTTGGCTTTCCCCTGAAGTTGCCTTATTTCTGGACTATGCTTCAGAAGAGGAGAATAATCTTGTCCCTGTGACTATGCCTCAGTTTGAATCACTTTGGCAGTCAGGGAACTCCTGGAGGCTATGAAGTGCTTGGAAATGTTCTGATGGCAATGATGGAACATCCTGACTGTTTAACATCCCATGATTTCTATAAGCATTATTGTACTTTACTAGAACTACCTACATTTTTAAAAACCCTGAAGATTTTCATCCTGTATCTTTTTCCTGTTGCATGAATGTCCTTAACATACAGGGTTTTGTCTCCCCTGCTTTTTTGTGGGAATTGTAGCACCTAAACAAGCAGAAATATCAACATTTTATTGTTATCATTTAACTGTGTCGCAAAGGAACAGCTATACCTACAGATTTTGGACTGTAGCTTCAAATTGTTTGAGACTGCAATAATTTTTGAAAGAAATTTATGATTCATGGAAAGAAAAAAACAGCAGCAAAAAACACCCAAAAAGCCCACACTTTTTCTGCAAAATACACTCACAGCACTGAATTTGACAGCTACTTACCCCAGACTGGATTGGTAAGTCTTCTACTTTGATATGTCTTTGTTACCATCTCTGTATCAAAAAATCACAGAAGCATGATAATTTGAGATCTCATAAATAAAACTTAGACACAAATACAATTTGCAAAAAAAAAAAAAAAATTAATTATGGTCTTAGTTTAATTTGGTTTCTGGAGAATTTAATTCGGAATACAACTAATTAAGTTACCTTTGGAACACTCTCAGCTAAAAAGTTCCTTTAAAGCAGTTCTTACCCTCTGGAGGGCATTATAACAGTTCACGTGAACAAGTGTCAACTTGTCTCTTACAATAAGTGTTGCTCTGTTTGAGAGGTTATTTCTATCGTATTTTTAACAAAAAAGAAATGGATAGTGCTATACTCAGAATTTTCTTTTTTTTTTTTTATTTTTTTTTTATTCCCTGCAAGGTACAGCGAAAAAAAGAAAAGTGACAAACAAAACCCTATCCATGCCATTTCTACTGTCTTTCAGGGTTAAAAAAAAATTGGAAAGGTTTACTTTAAGGATCTGTGGTTTTGGCTCCATCCCTTTGTTAATGTTTGACCATCTTTTTACCAGCCTGTGGTTTGAGGATATGATCCCCTACCTTTACTTAGTAATTCCAAGCCTGCTAGGCAGACTAGATATAACTCTCTAGCCAGCTGCATTTGCAGAATGAACCTTGCTTCAGGATGCAGAGTTGCCACTTCCATCCTTACCAGAGGCTTCCTTTGCTTTTTAGAAGTGAGTAAGTAATCTTTCTCTGCTTCTATTTCTTTCCTATGAACTAGAAAAAACAGTCTTAAATTTCTGTCTCTGTTTTCAGAAAGCAGATGACTTTGTTTCAGACATTGTTTCAGAAAGCAAATTGATTTGTTTCAGAAAGCAAGTTTTTAGTGGGTTTCGTCTCAACCTGAAATAGTATCTGGGTTGTGTCTGCTCTAAAAAATTAAAAAAATGTCTTCTAAATGTACCCCTCATTGGACTATCACTTTGGTCATGATGCATTGTAGTTAAGGGTCTCAGACCTTTTATCTGTGAAATCTTAATTTTTTGAATTTGTAGTTATTTATGGAAAGCATGTTTGGGAAAATTATGAATCATTTTTAGGCAGATCATGGGCAATCCTCAGCACATCTCTGAGTAACTTACCAGCTTGCTTTTGTTCAAAATTGCATCAGTCCTTTACAATTGGATCATTTTGGCACCAATCTGTCTATTCTCTAAGAGAACAGATAATTTTTGACTATTGTACCTTTAGTTCTTACTACTTAAGGTATATTGACATAATTGAGAAAGTTTGTCCATATTGAATAATTTTTCACAAAAGCCACTTCGCAATTCAGCCTTATTAGATTAAACAGCTACTGCTTTAAAGTAAAGGAAGTTTTAGTAAATGTTACTTTTCCTAAATCAATAGCAACAACAGTGGCAGCAAACAAAGTAATTGGAAATAAGGTCCAAATTTAGCAGTAAACTGATAGTCTTTTGGACAGGGATAGGTCCATTTTTGTATTGGAGGTAATACAAGAATGAAAGACAAGACAAAAAAGTTGTTGTATGCTGTTGCAAAACAAGGAGAAACTCTCACAAAAAGAAAAAAAGAAAAGAGGCAATCACAAGTATGTGAACCATCCATGAGTTGTTTATGCTCTTCATTATGTTTATACTACAAAGACTGATGAACGATGACACAGGTGAACCAGAATAAGGAAAAAAAAATGGTTTTCCTTGTCATATAGTCAAATTAAGGTGAAGATTATGCCACATTTTTATATATAAAATATAAAAAATAGGGAAATTTTCCCTTATTATTTCATTTCTAAGCAACTCAGACCATAAATCCCCAATGCAAACCTGGATTTAAGGGCTAGAGTTTTCATAAGACGTCTACATTGTTTGGTTCTGATGGATTTCTTCCTAATTAAGGGAGTAGAAAACAGAATTGATTTTTCAATTGCTACCTAATTCAAATCAGAAATAACCATCAACTTCTGTTTCTTTTTCGCTAGAGCAACTATTTAATGGTTCCTGCTTGTAGAACAAAGGTACCACAATCTTTCCCCAATGAAATAGGTTGCTCTGTGCATTGCAACATAGAAAGAATTATTGCTTATTTATTTTGTCTCAAGACAGAAATAATATTAGATTAAAAATGCATCATATGTGCTTTCCTTCTCCAATGACCCTCTCAACTTTATGATAAGAAGCAGGAATTTTTGACTTTTAAACAAATATAACAAAGAAAAAATATAAACTCTTCTTTTTAATTTTTTATTCTTTCAGCATTTTTCTCCCTTATCTCTAGACTTTCCCAGTCTATGTAACAACAAGTATCTGCCGCCTGTAACTGCTGGGTATTTAACTGGTGTCCTCATCTAATCAATAGCTTTAAATCCATGCAAATTTTACATTAAAAAGCTCTTTTAAACTACCTTTGGGCATATCCTACATGTGAACATGCTGTGAAAAATTGATCTCTAAATTATTACTAGATATTAAAATTTCATATTTGAGAAATATGATATATGGAAAAACTTAATTTTCAATAAAAGAATAACTAATAAACATTAATCAAATTAGTCATTCAGCAACTAACTTGAGCTTGAAGAAACTCTTCCTGAGAATATCCCAGCAACAGAATCATCAGAAAAATCATCAAAAAAATAATTCATCAACATAATTTTTTCTCAAATTACCTGTGAAAGACTAGTATTTTCCAAATGAATTATTTAATTTGTGAATCAATTTAAGCAGCTGTGATTAGAAGTGGATAAGGAAGTGTTGTTTTTTCTGCTTGAAGTCAGAAAAGTAGGTTGTAGTGCTCTACACATGAATATAAAAGGTGGCAACAGGTGATGAGCTGTTTTGTTAAGGAGTATGACCTTATTTTACCTACTATGTAGATCAAATATATCCTTATTTCCTCAATTAAACTTCAGTCTTAGAGAATTGTTATGTTTTTTGTGTTTTGTTTTTTTTTTTTTATGAAAATGGCTAGTACCTTTGTGCTTCCAAGAATATATTTGTACCTCAGTTGTTTTTGTTACTGAAGTTTCCATTTTTAGTTGTATAAAAATTGGAATCACAGGCAACAGAGGGAGCCATGAGTTTCTGTGCCCTGTGTTGGGATCTTTTAGATCAGCTGGTAATGGGACAGGAGTTGGCTCTTGAGGCGATATGGCTCAGAAGAATGTATCACTGATAATAAACACAAAGAATGCAGAATTTACTTTTGCACAATGCAAGCAAACTCATTAACTGTGTTTAAATCACAACAGTTACTGTGTCTGACTGTGTTAAAGGTAATTCTGATCGGGGGAGATTGTGATGCAAAGCTCACTCTCTCAAGAAACTCACCAAATCAAAAGAAGATAAAGACTGAGCATGTGGACTAATTACATTAGAAGCGAGGGAATCCTTCAGCTGTGGTGACCATGAGGTGGTGGGGTACAACCTTCTGAAAGGAAGAAGCAGGGCAAAAAGCAAGATCACAATCCTGGGCTGCAGAGGACCAGACTTAGGCAGGGAACTGCTTGGAAGAATCCAATGGGAAACATGAGTGGAGTGGTAAGGTTCAGGAGAAATTGTTTGAATTCCAATGATCATGTCCTCCAAGTTCAATATTGAACTACTCTATTCTTGAGATTGAGAATGGGAAAATTCAAGCGATTAAAAAAGACAGCAGGAGGCCTGTGTGGATGATCAAGAATCTGCTGACAAAATTCAGACAAAAAATAAGTCATATGAGAATGAGAAACAGCATAAGATGACCCAGGAGAAATATACATATTGCTGTAAGATGCGGAGAGGGACATAATACAGACAAAACTTCATCCAATTTAGATTGGGTGAGGAATATAAAAGGCAACAAGAGAGGCTCCTGTAGGTACATCAGCAGCAAAAGAAAGACCAATGCACAAAAAAGTGCTGAAGGCCAGTTGGACAGAAAGGAGCTTTTGAGGACAGGAAGATGAACATGAGCAAGTAAGGTGCTGCTGCAGCAGAGACAACCAACAACCTCCTGGGCTGCATTAGAACCACCACTATCAGCAGGTAGATACCACCCTTCCCCTCTGTCCAGCACTGGTGAGACTGTCCACTCCTGGAGTGCTGTGTCCAGTTCCAGGCTTCCCAGTGCAGGAGATAGGAACATACTGAAACGAATGTAGCAGTCACAAAGATGATGAAGGGAACGGAACACCTCTGTTATGAAGACAGGCTGAGATGTCTGGAACTGTTCAGCTGAGAAACAAAGGTTCAGGGGGAGAACTTATTTGTGTAAGTACTTAAAGGGTGGGCATGTATAAGGTAGGCTATCTTAGCCTCAGGGGTTAAGGATTAGAGGTATTAGATAAATATAGAAATATAATTGCACTTAATTATGAAAATGCTTTTCCTCTGGGGCTGTTTGAGCTCTGGTGCAGTTTGCCCAGAGAGATTGAGGAGTCTCCATCCTTGAGCATATTTAAAACACAAACACTGTTCAAGACAATTTAGTGTAGGTGGCCTTTTGACCCAGGGCTTGACTAAATAATCTCCAGATAGTGTGCCATCCTCAGTGATGGCAGCTCTGTGCAGCTGATACATCTCAGTTCTGTGGGAATCAAGGACCTTCTAAAAGAGCAGATACAGTTTTGAAGTAGTTGCATGCCTTGAAAATTCATTAGTATGAGAGATCTTAGATTGGTCTTTTTGTCCCTTGAAGTGTACAAGAACATATTTGTTTATTTTTTAATCTGTTAGTGTATACTTGAAATACAGAAAAGTAATTTGAATTTTTCAAGCAAGAATCACATCATGGCAAGATAAAAGCCCAAAAGATTGAGCTTGGACTTGGTTGCCTTCCAAAGCAACTTAGATTTTCACACAGTTTATTTAAATATACATGAAGATTAGCTAAAGCAACACTTACAGAGTGTTAATAGATAGAGATGAAAAGGGAATAGAGGGGCTGATAGTATTGGAAGGCGATGGGGAGACAGAAATGCTTGCTTTAAATACTTAAACTTTAAATTTAAATACTTTAAGTTTGCTTTAAAAAATATTTCAGTATAGCTTAAATTAATTCAGTGAAACTATTCTGATTAAGTCCTGGAAGGGTTTGGTCCTAAACACTAAAGTGTTTGGGAATTTTGAAATTGTATCCATGGCTAAAAATTATGCAAGGTGTCCTCCTTTTATCTCCTATTGAACATTCTCTTCTAGGTTGCTACTTGATTCCTGCAGCTTTTTTAAACTCTCAGTTCTTCTGAACCTAGCATAACCTTCTCAGTCTTTAACTAGATTTTTTAAAAGGGAGGATTCTTAGTGTCTACTTAAGACAAACTATGCATACCTGCTATTCTATCTAATACTTTCTACACCAACATCTATTATTTTATTGGACATCATCTCAGCCCATCAAGTATTTTGAGCTAATAAAAGGAGTATTTTATATGTTTTGAAGCAAGTGCGCAAATATTTTCATGGCACAACTTTCCAGTGATATTTTAAGTAACATACCACTGTAAGACATTTCTATAAAATACTCTATAATTTAAGACATTATTTACAGCCAGGCATGAGGAAATTTAAAAATTATATAATAGATAATTTGGAATGCTGACCTAAATTCTTCTATGAAGTAAAAAAATACCTGAAATTCTAAAACTCTAAAAAGGACATGAATGCACTCTTATCCGGTTGAGGAAACAACTGCAGATAAAAGACAAGAATATGAGATGTAATAAACTTGTGCCAGACTGGTAACAACATAATAGGAACATAATTTTTTTCCAAGATTTTTGAATAAAATGTAAATTGATTTAAGCTTTCTAATGTATTAAATAACAAGGATTCATTTTTGCTTTATTAAAAGAGTCTCAGAAATGACTGTCTTTTAAAAACAGAAAAAATAACTGAGAAAATAGGATTTGTTGATTTTGGAACTGATTATTACAGTGCATGAACTAATGATGAGTGACTAGTGCTGGAATCAATTAACACAGCTTTTGATAAAGTTTCTGCATTACATTATCATATTACTATCAGTCTAATATTTTTTTTTTTCCCCCCAAAGTAGTGTAGCATAGAAGCCTCTCTACCCATACAAATCACCATAACCTCTGTGGAGTGAGTTTGTAAATAACTGCTGAATGACCCACTCTTTTTTATATTAATTGTGTGTAGACTAGCTGTAAAAGGTCAGTCTTTTCTAAACATGTAGATATTATTTTTACTTCTACAAACTATAGACCAGAACATGATTCTCCAAATCACTGAAAAATATTTCTAGTCATGGTACATGGTATAAATTGACTAGATTGGTTAACTTGCTGCTATGTAGTGTTTCAAGGGTATGTATTTCTTACTCATTCCAATATGGATGTGATCATTTCTGACAGTATTAATACATAAAATTCACACAATGATGTTTATGTCAGATTCCTAATGTGTACTATCCCATCAGAGATCCATAGACCATGAATATTTTAAAGGTCTGTAAACATGGGTGATATGAAGCAACTGAGCATGAAAAACTTTGAAACTGCAAGGTCTTAAAACTCTAATGATCAGCATATTCTTTGGATTAATTCTTATAATTTTGTAGACTGCTTCCTTTCCAAATAAGCCTACTCTGAATTTTTAAGTCTCAAACCTGTATTCTCAGGTGCCATGAACTGCACCAGAGAACAACCTTGAAAATCTTGTAAATTATTTGTGCATCTCATATGATTTTTTCTTTCTCAAAATAAAGGGCAAAGTTCCAAGTGTTGCTGGATAGCATAGAATAGTAATTGCTCCAATTTTTATTTATTTATTTAATCTGTGGTTTTAAAGCAGCATGAGATAACACTTAATTTATAAAAAGATGGAGGAGGTATCTGTGAGCTACAATGATATCTCACTGTGCTGTGTAACTTCTCCAAGAAAATATGTAGAAGACTGAAACTTTTATGAAATTTAATAAGAGATTTTAATGGGCTGCTGTGAATGTTTTTATGATATTGCTCCTATGTGACCAGACACTTTTGCTTATTGAGCAATTACAAGGGAAAAACACTGAAAGAAGAACAGGTCTCAAGGTATTTCTTAGGAACTCAGGATTTAGAAGTAATTAAATCCTTTTTTTTTTTTTATAAATTCTGAATGAATTTCAATTGATTGAAATTTAAATGATGCCATGAAAGACCTTCAAAGAGCTCAGATAAAACCAGTTTGGCTTTACTGCAACCTTTTTTGTGTTAATGTGTTACGCTATCTTTAAACTGGTTAAAACACTTCCTCTTATCAGGCAAATAACATATTTATCAATCACTTCAGGACTAATATGAATTATATTTGACTTTGATAACTTGCTTATTGTAGGTCAGCATTTGGGTTTTCAGTGGTCAAAGAGAGCAATTCTCTTCCATGTAGGGTTTAGTTCTGGCGCTTTCCACATCCATGGGTTCAAGACACAGAATTTGTGCTCATTTGTCAGCAAGCAGCAGCAGTGCCTTCCTCTCCCTCATCTCTACATACAGGCATTTCTTCTGCTTTGTTTCCTACATCTGAATTTCAGGTTAGGGGAGAAGGAGGAATAGTGAGGGACATATCATCGTACCTGTGATATGTTTTTTATCTGCTCTTTTTAGTATTGTTTTTCTTGTCCCTCTTTTCCTTCCTATATTGCATTGATGATCTCTGATAATTATAATTTCCAGGTTTTAAATGAATGAAAAAAGAAAGAGCAGCAAGATGACATAAATAAATGTTCAGGTGTGGCAGAAAAGACTCTCTGGATACTTTACGTCTGTGAAAAGATTTTAATAGTTTCACTATTGTCTTCAATAACCTTGTTTGCATTGTGAAGGAAAGAAACTAGGCAAATCATTAGGAAAGAGGCTACAGCTTCTATAAGTAATGAGAGACTGGAAAGCGAATAAGTCCTCCAATTTTAAGTGATGTTATCAGATATGTTACACAGATATTTTGGTAATCACTAAAGAGAGAGAAATACTTTAAATTATGAATGTGCTCTTTGATCTCTTGAAGACAACTGTAAGGACCTGGAAGGTTACTGGGCCAAAGCTCTCCTGCACAAGCAATCAACCAAGGAACAACTTTATCCTTGTGCAAATTTTTGTATACAGTGCATGTTACTGCAGCATGTTGCTATTCTGTTTACAGATTCTGCTGGTGAAAAAACTGTACAAATATAAGAAACAGAGCAAGTAGCTCAAAGACTGCTTTCTCACTGAAAATTTTGTCTGCTCTTAGACAGGCTATCCATTCTAATCATGAGCCATTTCCACAGTATTTCACAGTCCAAATCCTTCCCACAACCACTTTTTTCTTTTACAGGGCCAGAAGGCTGCCTGCATCATTAGGATCAACCCCAACTTTCCTCAGCTGTAACCAGGAAATATGCAGCTGAAGTAACATCAGAGCTTATCCAGTTTCACCAGCCTGATATTTCTTATTGACAAAGTACATCTTTGCAGAGCCATCTTCAAATAGTCTACAAAACTATGTAGCCTTTAGATACATATTTTATCACAGAATTTGGTAAGTGAAATTCTTTCAAAAAAAAGTATTATCTAAAAACCTACATCTAGGAATATTTCCATCAGCATAACTTCCTCTGGAAACACACAGTGATGGAAAAAAGTTGTAAGAATTTCATCTAGAAGTACAGCAGGGTCTTGATAATCTGAGATCTGTCCCCAGTCCCAAAATGACACAAGTGACATAGAGGCTGCTGATGTCTCTATTTATTAACTTATATAATGCAAGTGATAGGGGAAATAAATTCTCTACTATTGTAGCACAACATTGTAGAACTCATATTTTGCTGGGAGAATTTCTTAATTATGATTTGATGGGCAAGCAGAAACATACAGAGTGATCTGGAGGACATGATAACATTGGGAATTGAGTGGTTTGGCCTTCAACTTGGTCTTCTTGAAGACGAGTGAAAGCAAAAAGAACCTTGGTTTGATAAGATCTGAATATTGTGCCTTGTCTTCTACTGCAGTGTGGAATCCTGGAAGAAGTATTTTCAGGCTAGCCTTGCTGTTTGCATTCTGGACAGCTCAAACCATTTGCATTTACTTTCCATCACAATCTAGGAATAACAGATTGTAGAAGGGAAAAAAAGTTACTGCACAACAGTATCTGCAGACAGAGGAATGAGAAGTGAGATATGAAACAACTTTCTAACAATCCCTCCTAACATCAGGTTTTTTACTCTTAAATTTTCCAGAGTTTCCTTTTACAGTGAAACAGATATATAAATACAGCAGTGTATTCATTCTTTGTGAGCTGGTAGGAGATTTACAAGTTCTTTGATAAAGCAAATAGAAAGTCATGACCTGAGGGAGAAAAAAAAAAAAAAAAAGGTAGAGTGAAATACTCAATATGAAAAGATTTTACTAATTTGTATTTGAACTTGAACTTGTAAGGCAGGTTTTTGTATTAGATACGATTTTTTCTGTAGTCACTACCAATTTATGTGTATATAAAAGTGTTTTTGTAAAAGCATAAAGATGACAAAAGAAAAAAGATTTTTTTTTTAAGAAAAACAATAGTTTGAAGCAGAATGGTTTAGTTTTCAAGTAGTATATTACTGTAGAAATATAAATTTAATGGTCTTTTTACTATTCGGTTTGGATTGAGTAACTGTGATTTTAGTTTGGTTTTTTTTTCTTTTTTTCCCCAATTATGTTCAGAAAAAAATGCATTTAAATTTTAACTGTAAAAACATTATTTTATAGATGTCTTTAATTTTGTGGCATACTTGTATATCTATGAAGAAAAAAATCCCTATACTATTAGAAACCCTATAATATTAGAAAGAATATACTATTAGTTCTTCAGAAAATTAGAATAATCAGAACTTTTTCCCCTATCCCCTTTGCATATTCTTCAGTTAAATCATAACAACTAGATTATTCCTACTGGTTTATTATCTTACACAACAATATCAGTGAGGACAAACCTACAACAGAAACTATATATTATCTTAAAACATTTGTTTGTCTTGTGGGTTTCAACAGTAAATTACAGAAAATTTCAGACTGGTCTCCTACATAAGCATAAAGATAACAAAGAGCTATCTTGGCTTAGTAAAAATCATTACTATTTTATATTATGTTTCAGAAAAGCCATTACCTTCAACAATTCTAGAAGCAGGAAGTCCAGAAATGCATTTTCAAAACAAGTCTCTTATTCTGTGGTAAGCTCTGACAGCTCTCTGAAGATGACAAAGAATCTGATCACCTCAAAAGTGAGGTTGGTAGCCTTAGTTATGCTAGAATGTAAACTGTCTTTTAAGTGCATCCTTCAAAAGTATTTTTGCAGACATGCATGCTGTCATGTACCTCTTTGATTTCACTACATACTGACACTTTTGAGCCTTCTCTTCAGGAGGAGAATGTCCTCACTACAATTCTCTCCACCCCTCTCATAAGAGCTGTGCCCTTCCTCAGCTTCATTGCCCTTCTTTGGCCATGCATCAACACCTCGATGTCTTTTTAATGCAACAGTTCATTGCCTCTTATATGTCCCTGGACAGAAGAAGTTTTCATCTATCTCAAAAAGTCTGTTAACTAACATGTTTATTTCAATCCAGTTGGAAGAAATTAAAGGAAAATTATTCCGAACACTGCTTTAAGTATTGTTAAATACATATCTTGCTCTATAAAAATATTTAAGTAGACTATATGTGGGTATTCTCAGACTAAGTGTGCTGTCAACAGTTAGCAATACTTACTGTAATTACCTGTGCTTTAGTAAATGATACTTTATTTTCTGTGAGTAGTGTTATTGGTATTTTTTTTTTTGCCTGGTACACAGAAAAAAAATGTTCCTGAATAACTCTTAGGCCTATGAAGGAAGTAAATTGTAATATGGACAAAGAGAGTAGGTGTGGCATCCATCTTATTGTTCTGTTCTGTTCAGGAAGAAAGGAAGGAAGGTAGGAATTTTAAAACAAGAAAAATCCACTTTAACAAAAATGCAATGTGGAAATGTTTATATAGTCTATACTCATTAGTATTGTTCTAGTTTCAGCCTTTTTTTCTGGTTAACTTATGAAGAGAAGTCATTATCTCTACTTTAAGGTGTTGCAGAAGGGTAGAGATTGTAAAACAAAGATCTTATCTAATATGGTTTAGGCTTGGCTACTCTAGCTAAGCTAGAAGTAACTTGTAAGTTCCCATAAGGAATTCATAAGAATGAAGGCAATTAAGACAACAACTTATTCCAGTAAGAAAAATAAGTTTGCACCTGCACAAACAATAGATCTGTCCCATGAGAATTGGTACAGAAGATATATAAACAATCCAAAAATAGGGAGATTTGATAGATGGCTAGTTACTAACTGGTGAATTGAATAGCAAGAAAACTGCTAGCCAATCTGAGTAAATCATGAGGTCTGTGAAAACTGCATAAAAATAAGTTATGTGAATAAAGAGTTGGCTTTTTCTGCATGAAGAAACTGAATCCCGTCTGCTTGTTAATACAACATCAAGGAACCTCAATGATGAAAATTTGTAAACTTAAGTAGGGCAGTAAAAGACGTAAAGTTTAAAATAAAAAATATCAATGTTTAGAAATTTCCTGCATTTCTCATGGAACAGATCATATCTAGCAATATTCACTGAAGAGGTAAATGCTACTTCTCACTTGTAGGCTCTCACTTGCAGAATTCTAGGATTCTGGGAAATTCCAGAATTCAATAGAGTGTGAATGTTGAACATGAATTGGAAAAGAAAAATGATCTTAATATTTCCAGCATATAGTCAGTCTAATGAAATGTAAAACTATGCAATGCTGATGATCTACTGTAGAAGGAAACCTCTGTCCAGTTATATGATTTAGTTTAACACATCTGATGCACTTTTTATTCCTAAACAATCTGGGAAGTTTGGGTAATACTTTCAGATGCATTGTCATAACCTTGTAAAAGACATCTAGAGCTTTTTAAAAGCATATATTAACTGGATTAAAATAAAATAACAGTACAACTCACAGAAAACAGAAAAGAAACTTTTTGTTCTTGATGTAACAACTGCTGCTCTGTTCTGTGTATTTTATTGGTCGGCGTAGGCGAAGGTCACTCTACCCTTAAATCTGACTCATGAGAGTTTACCTAGAGTTGCATCAGTCACTGTAGATGACTTATATTTAATCTTGTAATTTGAAACTAAATACAAAAGTACATTCCTCTTTTCTCACATTTGAATCTTTAAAAAAAGGATGGGTCTTCCTGGAGCACAGACAGGAAAAAATATTGTGTTACTGCAAATCTTAGTCTTCTGTGGTTTATGTTTTACATAAGGTTAGCCTAGAGCAGGATAACTGTTTATTCTTCTCTTAGAATACATCAGTCTTGAAATTTTTCCTTAAAACACACATATCTGACAGAAGTCATTATCGATTATTAATATTTTACTCTTGATAAAAAAGAAAAAAAGTAACTGGTAAACTGTAAAAAAATCTGAAAAGGATTCTGGTCTGTGAAAAACTTTACCTTTCCTTCCAAGGAAGACTTTCAAGTGATTCAGAAAAGATTCACGGTTCTTATAATAAAATTGAAGACCTGGAAAACAGGTCATGATGTTCACATCTTAAGAATTACACTATTACAGAAGAAAGCAAAAATGAAGAATGATTTGATTTATAACCACTCTCATAATCAGAGTAATCATGGGGATTCATTTTCCCACACAAATTGGAAATGATATCACCACATGGATTCATTAATCAGAAACACAGAGAACAGGGCAAAGTATTACTTTTATAAAAATTATGTCACTTGGAAAAAAAGGTTAAAAAGTTTCTCATGAACTAAGGAAAATGTAGAATTAATCTCTTAATTATTAATAATAAATATTTTTATTGCAGTTTCATAAACAAGACTTAGAGAAGAGTGAACACAAAGGAAATGCCCTGGAGAGAGTGCATACTGCCTCTTTAATTACAGAAAAAAAGATGGATTTAGACTGAAGAGGAATATACATGCAACACATACATGTAAATTCTAGGTGAGGAGCAAGAGAAGGAAACCAAACATTTTGCTCAGTATAGATGCCTTTCTGCATTCCTTGACATAGGTAGAGGTGCACTGCTGACAAAAAGCTGTTAGGAAGAACTGTTTCCAGGGTGTGTGGTAAAATGGAATCATTTGTACCTGGTTCTCTAACAAGGTTCTTTTATAACAAGGAAGCAAAACATGAGACAGCAAGTTCACAGACAAAAATATAGAATTATAGAATATGCCGTGTTGGAAGGGTCCCTTCAAGATCACTGAGTCTAGCTTGTGCTATGACCAGTCCAACGTGTCATCTCCATTTTCTAAACTGAGTGTCTTCTCATTAAATATGTTATATGCTCATATATCACACAGTCTCAGGAGGCAGGTATTATTTCATTTTTATAGCAGTGTAGTACAAGAGATCTGCATAGGTATGAATGACATTATTAAAACAGGTGTTTTGCTTTGGTTTCATTTCCAGAGTTCATAATCTAATTATATTTCCTCCAGTCATTAGCTAAAAATAAACCTCAGTATTTTTGCAATTTAAGCTTTGAGTGCTAAAAGTCTAGGTGTCATCTGTGACCTACAGAGTAAACTTGGACAATATAAAGCACATCTTTTCCCTCAGTTTGATGATTTGTATAACAGCAGTAATGAATCTTACCATCTTCACATGCTCTCTTTATAAAAAAAAAAAATCACCATTATTTATGTCTCACTTAAGAATCCCCTTCCTTTATTGGATTCAGAGAGCAACACAGAGACAAAGGATGGGAAAAGATCAGCCCCTAAGCTGGAAGACATAGATGAGGAGAAGAGCAAAGCCCTCATAATGTGGGAGAGAATGGTCAGTGTACAGTGTAACATTATGCCACTTAGACAAACACAAGTCTATGGGACTGGATGGGATCCACCTGAGGGTATTGAGGGAGCTTGTCAAGCTATTGTCAATCATTGACCCCAGCTGAGATCAACAAATGTGGAGGCTTAACTGTAAGAAACATCAGAAGTAAGATCCAGGGAACCTCAATGCTGTATATCAATGAGTACATCATCTTGAAAGCCATCATGAGATATGTGCTGGACAACCAGGGAATTAGGCTTAGTCAGCACAGAATTATGGAAGGTAGGTCCCACTTGATAATTTTCATGTCCTATAACCAGGTGATCTGCTTTTTTGTATCCACAGCAGAGAAAGGCTGTGGATGTTATCTACCTAGACTTTAGTAAAGCCTTAGACAGTTTCTCACAGGATCCTGCTAGAGTAATTTATGGCCACTTATGGCTTGGACAGGTGCGCCATTTGCTGGATGTCCTAGCCCAGAGAGCAGTGATGAATGGTGTCACAGCTAGCTCAGTCATAAGGGAGGTTCCCCATGGCTTGGTACTGCAGCCAGTTCTGTTTAATAATTTTAATGATCTGCACAAAGGAATTGAGTGCATCCTCAGCCATTTTATAGGCATCACCAAGCTGGGAAGGAGGAGCGAAGCTTCTGTATCTTCTTGCCATTTCCTCTTGGTCACTGCATTTAGCCTACTTCCACTGTATAAAATGCGGGAAATAAATGTAACATTTCATTGTCTTCTGTTTGATAGTTTTTGTAATGAAGCTTGGTTTGTGTTCCTACAGTTGCCACAGGACCCTTGTTTCATTTCTAATGTTTCGAATGTGACTTCTGCCTTATTAGCAACAATAATAAAAAAATTTAAAATCATTCTTTTCTGAGCATCACCCCAGGAATTAAATCAGTGACTGCAATTATTTTACTCCTTCTAAAATAAAATATATTCCTTAACATTCTTTCTTCATTCACTAAAAGAACTTCAAAAACAAACAAAAATAATTATCTTTATTGTTCATCATTAAAGCAAACACAAAAGTACCTGGTGCATTATTATAATATAAATTCATATTAATAAAATTATATTGTCAGTCTATAACCCATCAGTTCAGTAACCAAAACATCAAATAATCTATGTTGATTAAAAAATTAAAAAGCCGTGTTGATGAAAAAAATTTAAAAAGAGAAACAACAATATAGCCTTAAATTTTCCTGGCTCTGGGGTGTACTTTTGTCATTCACTCCTGCTAATCAAGGAAGCAAGAGAAGATAGTCCATGGCCTTCTCAAAGAATAAATCACCTTGAACAGGTCATCTCTTTATAAATGTAGGGAGAATAAATTGTATCTTAAATACGTATGATCTCTCCTAAGGCTTTTAACACCTAAAAGTTGTTTTGTTCCTACCTT